AACAAAACTCTGCAGGGCTCCGGACCTCCAGGAATTGAGTTTGACCTGCTCTAGAGCTTTGGCTCTCTCCTCAACTGTCCTTACAAAGAAATATAATTAAATTAATTTAAAGTCTTCAAAAAACCAAAGATACAAGATACATTTACATGGATAAATAGCTTGTATTCTTCAATCTTTTTAACACAATTACTTAAATGTGTATTTTTTTCTGTTATATATACACACACACACACAAGAAAACATACACATTATTGTCATTAGTCTTCAAAAAAGTCAACTGAATAAAAAAAGCTGTAATAAGAATGCAGTGGATAAAAGCAATTCAGTGATAAGGTGATATGAGACAAACTTTCTTGGGATACACTTTATTTTAAGGTGTTCTTATATTTTAATATACCTATTAATAATTTAATTTCATTACTTTATTATCAATAAATTACTGTTATTACTATAGTAAGTATGTGTAACAAAAACAAAGTGTTACCCATTTCTTGCTTTATCTTGTTTTTTAAAAAATTCACACAATAACCTTTTGCCATGTTTATCGGTCTAAAATAAAGGGGTAACTATGGTAACCAGGATGGCATTAAGCACAGGATCTATTTTTATTTTCTTTTTAAAAACGTATGCAGCTTTTGAGGAGGTATGTTTTGAAGGGTTTGTGGAGAATAGTGTTTAGTTATTTGTAAGACAGATTTAATATGCAGGTTTGGAGGCGATCGTGTTTTGCCGAGTGTTATTCAGAAAGAATTCAGCAAATTGTAAAAAATGTTTTGTATTGTAATTTTCTGCAGTGGTGATCTTGATATATTAAAATAATTATAAAACAAACACACATAGGGCCAAGCCAGGATCATGAGATGTTCACAACTAACTAATGCACATTATAAAAGAAACATGCAAAAATCAGTCCGTGCAATAAACCAGTGAATGTCTCAAACGGTTTCAAAGTCTCTGTTTATTTATGAACTAATGATACTGTTACCTGAGTGACTAAGTAACACCCTTCCTCACAACAACATATTTTTGCAAGAGGCTCAGTACACTCTGGTTACCATTAGGAAGCACTAGTAACACAAAGCAACGTCTTGCTCTTTCTGTGCTTACACAGCATGATGTCCATTCCTCTACAGTAAACTGTAGTAGAGCTGCAGGATTACTATAGCTCTGTATCAGAATTCCGAGATGCATCTTCCTTATTCTCTTCTTCCACGTGTTTATCTTGTGAAACTGCAGACACGGTGCTATCAGAGCCTTTGGCTGAAACATTTCTCATCTTAATGTTGGGGAGTTTCTTGAGGTCACCGGTCCACTCTCTATCAAACAAATGTGGCTCAAGGGTAGACGGATTTGATATGTTAAGGGTTGAACTTTACATCGCTAGTTCTTGCTATAAAAAGTTTTAAAGAACATACTTTTAAGCAGTAATTACCTGAATATTTTCAGATGCTTAGAGTTGATGATATCAGGGATTTCTGTAAGGTGAAAAAAGAAATAACTTTTAACCATATACAGCATGATGTTGCCTAAGGATAACAAAGATTAACAAGAACATTATGCATATAGAATGGCAATAAATGGTTAATAACGAAGGATGACTTTAATTAAACCAATACAA